GCTGCTCCCCCTCCGGCTCCTCCGTTGTCGATGATTAATGACTCCCGTTACGGAAATGACCTGTCAAACGCCCGTGTCGCAGCAGAACCAAGCCATGTCCGGCGCCTCACTATCCTTAGATCAAGGCACTCTCCATCAGTCGGTCCATGGCGTCCATGGCAGTGTCTTCCTCTTCAACGTGTATCTCTTCCTCCTGGCCAGTAGCAGCATCGCGTTCATCGGGTGACGGTGAGACTCCGGAAGCCTCCTTCGTGATGCTCTCAAATACCTCCAATAGGTCACCGTGGTGCACCACTCTGCCGTCGTCGAGATGAGTCTCCTGATGGGCATCCTTGTCATCTTGCTCGAATCGACGAATAGGGCACGACCTCATGGGTACCGCCTTGGCTTCGGGGTCGACGGTAGGCTTGATCTTGACCTTGCCTGTGGCGATGCGCCCCATGATCCAGTGAAAGATCCACGGGAAGCTGATCAGGGGCATCGATTGTCGCTTGTGATCTTCGTCTTCGTACTCGTCTGCAAGCGCTGCATTGACCTCTTGCTCGGTCACTTGATACATTGCAGCCACGAAAGGGGCGAAGTCTTCGAACCGTCTGCTCCCGGCCTCTGTGTAGCAAATCTCTCGGAATCTTTGCTTGAGTGCCGCTGATTCTCGACCAATGTCCTCTTGCTGCTTGTAGTCGCTGCCAACCCGGGGTTTTGACAGGATGAAGCCTGTCCATGCTTCGAATTCGGTGTGAACGTCGCGATGACTCATGAGACGACGCATAGCTGTGTCGTATTGATTTTTGATCTTGCGAGCCTTTTGTAGAAGTTCTCCGGGCAGTTCAAACCTTCTCAATACCCTTCCGTCAAACTTCTTGTCGTAGAGAGGGTTGAGCTCCTGCTCAACGATTCTGTCGAAGATCTTGCCAAGCGTAGTCTGGGATTTGTATGCATTAAATTTGCGCATGAAATGCGGCCACTGTTTAGGATCGAGCTCGTCAGGGTATTCAGCTGGATCTGCAGTTTTGACGTAGTCTACCGCCTTGGAGTGCAGCTCTGCCAGCCTCAAGCCTAGAAACTCAGTGTTAATTTGTATCTATCGTTACTCGCAGACAATTAACTCACATTTCTTGTCGTTCGCTCCTTGTTTAGAGAGATCGGCGTGAGCTAGATGTGCAGTTGCAACCTTGGCCAGGCAGTCATTCTGAATATAACGAACGAAGAATGTTCTCAGGTCTGATACCTTGACATCTCGCTTCAGTTTCGGGGCCTTGGGTGCGATGTAGTTCATAGGCTTGTGGTGCCAGTTCTGGGGAATGAGGTCTTGGTTCCAGATGACGAAGAAATCATCTCCGTCGAGGTCACCCCCGGAGCACATGCTAGGGACATCTCGATCACCGGTGCTTGGAAACACCACAACATTCTGGAGGTGGTGGAGGTCAGGGATATCAACCGCTTCCACAACCCGAATATCACCTGGATGAAGTGAAGGGTTTCGTCCCACGATGCACACGCCGGTGACGCAGTAGAATTCGCCATCTTGTGGTTTCGGAATTCGAAGGAAGATCTGCGGCAAGTCCTCGATGTTGTTGGTATTCTTCCCCTCAGTTGCCTGGCTGTGGCCTCTCAGTGTGCCTGTTTCGTCCAGGCAACCGAGAAGAAAAGCACTTTGATCGACGACCACGCGCGCCTTTTCCTTCAGCAGCTTCATAGACCAAATCCGCCAGAGATCCAGAATTGTCAGCACGAACGGCTCTTGAATCTCTGCATCCATGAAGCCCCAGCAGACGAGATCTTTGATTGTTAGAGATGTCATGTTCTCGTCAATGTATTGCCCCAGTAAGCTTACAGCGGCAACTCGGTCTTTCATAGCCTTCTCGTAGCCCTGGATTTGTTGCTCAGCAAGATCCAATATCGGACTGTCCTTGACACCGAGCGTCGTAAGAATGGTTATGGTTTGTCGATTCAGCGTGGCTGGTGAAAACTGCGCGAACTTGATGATCTCTAAGCCGTTGAACTGGGCCCTGAACTTTTCTTGTGAAGGTCGAATATGAACGTTGAGGCCCTTGGCATCAGGCCAGACAGCTAGCATGCCTTTGCAGCCACCCATGCGAAACTGGAAAGCAGAGGGTATTCCAACCGCATCCTGGCCCATCTCATGGACTACCATTTCGGCCAATAGCTTCGAAATTTTGCCGACACCATCGCTGAAGCAATAGCCTTGACGCTCGATATCTTGCATCTGTACAATCTGTGGAACGGTGACACCTCGGATTTCTCGCGTTGTAGAGAAGCACTGGCCGATACGAGCAGCGTATTTGGCGACATTTTTGATATGGTTGAAGTGCCCCATCCAGTCTCGGATCTGATCGCATGAAAGATGATCGGTCGGACAGAAGAAGTAGGCAGCGCACTCTCGAATTTGCGAGTTTCCAAACGCGAGGAATTCGTAGGTGCGGTTGCCAATCTTGATGCCTTGTTTTAGGGCACGGTAAATGCGGTGGTGGATTTCGTTGCCTGCATCGCTGTAGACCTTGCCTCTGTACAGCTCGTCCGTGAATTGAACTCTCAAGAAGCGGTCTTGATAAGAGTTATACTTTCGCAATACTCTGTTGGAGGATTCGACGCTTGGAGAGCAAAGGTGCATGGTCGATGGTGTGACAATGACCTTTCGGATCGTGGTGCAGTAGTATGGCATACTCATGCCGGGAAAGTAAAGAGCAGCCTCTCCACTCCCAAACATCTCCATCGGGTTCCATTCCCTTTTTCCTTGATCCGCAAAGTACTCGAGCATCCACTTTGCCCGGTCCTTGTCCATCTGACGCAGTCGGTCGATGAATGCCTGGTTAATGGAGTACTCTGATAGAATACCCCGTGAGATACAGACCTCAAGCTGGTAGTGGACCTCGAAGGGCAAGTGGTGATTATCGGAATCAGGGTCAAAAGATCTCAATCGACTGTCGGTAGCTTGGGCTCTAAACACAGTACCGAGCAGAGGAGGTCGCGAAGAGGTAGTCGCGAAGTGCTCTACAGTAATGGCCGTGATGTTGTGGGCCTCTAAAGCCTGCAGGAATTTCTCCAGAGTGCCGTTTCCAGCTTTTGGGATCGCGAATCTATAAGTTGTCCAGCGACCAGTATTGATGAAGTCAGGATCTTCGAAGTCTGACTGAAGTGTAATTGGAAAGTCTTTCGGCAGTTGATCATTGTGCAATATGACTGTGCGTCTTTCCCACATGTCCGTAATGCCCCATGAAGTCTTGCCCGCGGCCATCTTGCTTCGCATCTTCCTGCTTGCCTTCGTCCAGAACATAGGTGGAAGCTCTAACGGTATGACCAGAAGTATGTCTTCATTTCGGTCGACTCGATAAACACTAGTGAGGCGGGCGAACTCGATTCCGCACTTGTGGTGAAATATCTCGTCGTCGTCGTCACCGTTCTGGTCTTCTGATGAGTCCACAGGACAAGTATCAAAGTGAAGAGTAAGCTTCTTCTTGGTCAAACTCATGTCGATGCGCACGCCATTATGCACGGATTTAAAAACCATCATCTCCTTCTCCTGTAAGCGCGTGCCAAAGTCCATACGTTCCGCCTCAAGTGTCATCTTGGAATCGAACCAGATATTGGGGTTTGAGGGACTCTTTATCAGATTGGAGTATGTCTCATGAGGCGGTCGGAAAGTCTGGAGAATCACACGGGCGCTCTTGCCTCCCTTGTACCGGACGATGTGGAATCCTGACGACCAGAAGTTGACTTTGGGCGGAGGCTCAAAACGAACCAGGGCGTATCCATCGCGTTGGCCTTTCCGATTCTCTCCGATCTCTAGCAAAGAGATACTTCCATACTGTTGGAAGGAGTCGTATAGCTCAGATAGATCAACGGCTTCAGGAAGGCCACGAACCTTCAGCCTGAATTCCGGCCATGTTCGCCAAGGTTCATCTGCTTCTCCCATGACACGGACTGTATGCTAGAAGCCAAGGTTAGCAGAGTTGGTTGTTATATCCCGCAAGTTTCAATTGAAAAATTAATAATTGAAGTGTACCTGCCTGATGGTGTACGAGCAGGTTTGTTTTCTTGGTCTGTGGTTGTTCGCTAAGCTGAGGACGTATTTCGTAAAACAGCTATGAGCTGCGGGTATGTACTTAAACGGGTTGGCTCTCGACAAGATAGCCTAGGCGGAGTGTCTTAGATGAAGGCAGAAGGGAAGATCGAAGTCGAAGTCGGAGGCTCAAAGGGTGAGGTCAATTGGAAGGGCAAAGACGGGCGCGGAGGATGGGGACAATAGAAGGCTGGGGGTAAAGTCGAGGTAAGGAAGGCACCCTGAGCCCGCGGCACTTGAGGTGCCTATGAAGAAGGAGCGAGGACCAGGCAATTCACTCCGGTCTCTCTTTCCTCAGGTCAATCATTCCTGGATTGAAATTGCTCAAGTTTTCGAATTTTCTTTGCCCAAGCACTTTGCATGCAGCTACCCGTAACCCAACGCAATCTCCAAGTTCAATCATGGCTCGATTGCCCGCCCTCATTCCATCTCCTACTCGGTTGCCCACTTTAGACTCTGCACATCATTGTCATCGGATGTTTGCTCTGATATTAGATTTAAATCTCATCTCAATTTTCATCATTATCCGTATCTCGTTGCGACTGAGCTTTTGGTCCTTGCTTCCTGTGGACTGGAACAGCAACACAGCCGCAACGACATGAATAGCTCCCGGCGAATCGAAGACCACAGTCTGGCATTCAGTGTTTATCAAGCAAAATGCCGGCATGCCTCTCTAACAATTTTCCGATCTTGTTCTTGGTATGGTCCCCTTTCTGGTCGTTTCAGGCACCTAAGTAACACATTCTGGGCAACAGATCAGAGAACAATCCACATAAGCCCAACCCGAAAGGCTTGTGTGATGGTAGATATTCCATGACGTCCTTACGCAGCCCTAGACAGTCGTTTTTTGATGAGAATCACCAAAGCTTCGGCGATGGCAACCGCTCTTGGTGACATCTCATGTCAACGGGCCTCATAGCTATACCGAGGAACCTTGGTTCGTCCTTGAGCCCTCTGGAATGTCCATGATTTTTCCGGGGTTCATGATCCATTTGGGATCGAGCGCACGCTTGATCGACTTCATTACGTCGAGGGTGTCGGAGCCGACTTCGAGGAGCAGAGACTCTTTCTTGCCCCAACCGATCGAATGCTCGCCCGTACACGTTCCATCCATATCTATTGCTCGCTTGACCATGTTGTGGACGCACCTCTCGACCTTTTCTCGCTCTTCAGGGATCGTCCGGTTGTAAATGATACTTTCGTGGAAGTTACCGTCGCCGATGTGGCCAAGAATACTTGCAAACAGCCCCATATCGTCCATCTCCTTCTTGCTGATCTCGATGAGGTCTGCCAGACGGCTGAAGGGAACAGCGACATCCGTACTCCCTACACATCGTTAGTCTCAGGATGCTCATACTGACCAAGACATAGGGCAAGCTACTCACAAACTTCTTCACCGTCCTTACGAAGGGCCAGCATTGACCACAGTGACTCTTTCCGGGCAGACCAAAGCAACTTCTGCTCGAGCGCGTCCTTTGCGAACTCGAAGTTACCGCCCTTGTGATTCTTGGTGATCTTCTGAACGAGACCAATGTTCTCCTTGACACCGGCTTTGGTACCGGAGAACTTGAAGAATAGGGTCGGGAGTTCCTGCCAAACGCGAGGTGCTGTTGCGCCACCCAAGTTGACGACCTTCATCTGGACCTCGTCCATGATTTCCATCGCAGCCACAGGAATACCATTGCGCATGACTTCGGCTGCAGCCGCAGCAGCGTCTCTGATACTGGGGAATGTAACTACAGCGACCGAAAAGTCTTCGGGCACAACAGTGAGCTTCAGGGTTGCTGGAAGCGGTCAGCAAACACTCATGGAAGCAGTAACAAGCTGGACCAGGTCATTTGCCTGTTCCGACTCACCTTCAGTTACAAGGCCTAGTGTTCCCTCAGATCCTACGAACAGTCCATTCAGATTGTAGCCGGCGGAAGACTTCCTTGGTCGTCTCCGAGTCTTGACCACAGTTCCGTCTGCCAAGACAACGGTAAGGTTGATTACCCAATCCTTCATGGTTCCGTATCTAACGGCGTTGGTACCTGAGCAATTTGTACCGATCATTCCGCCAATCTTTGCGCTTGGGCCTGTTTTGTCGTGAGTCCTAAATACCTGTTTTTATGGAAGATCCTGCGCTGATTTTGGCTTACCAGGGTCGATAGGGAAGAAAAGACCGCTCTCCATTTTTGCCAATTTTTCGTTCAAGTCTTGCCATCCGATACTCGGCTGAACAACAATGTCCATATCATCCTTATTGAAGGAGAGAATCTGGTCCATAAAGGCAAAGTCGACGCTGATTCCTCCGTATGGTGCCGAGAAGTTCCCTTCCAGACTGGAACCACCCGAGTAAGGAATGATGGGAACGTTGTACTTGAAGCATACTCGTGCAATCGTCGCCACCTGCTCTGTTGATCGCGGGTATGCGACAGCAACCGGAAGGCCATCAGGATTGGTCGAGGACCATTCAGAATACCCATGAGCATGCAAGTCGTCGGGATCCGTGGAGATAATATCCTCGCCACCCAGCTCCTTTCGAATCTCCTTCAAGGCCTACACACCAAGTTAGAGGCGGAGGTCATTCTCATGATAGGATGCGAATACCTGCTCCATTTCGGCCATGCTTGCATAAGTCACGGGGCGAGACAGACCATCTATAGGAAGCAGGCCGCTACCGAGAGGAAGAAAGCCAGCGGTGGCAGAATTGTCCTTTGTCGAACGAGCAAGACCCCAGCCAACGGCACCGGCGGCTAAAGCGACAGCCCATACTGAATTACCATGCCAACCACTTTGCGAGGTGTTGGCCGAACCTTCAGAGCTGGCCCGGGGGCTGCTTCGCCGGGTGGTCGTGGTCGAAAAGCTCCGACCGGCATAGAGAGCGGGCCCAGCGAGTCGGCCCCTCAAGCCATGGCTCAGGAGGGGCCTCGCAGAGAGTTTGGCCGGCATGCAGGGGATGAGAGCCATCTACACGGACACAAATCGGATTCCTCGAAGAGAAAGTCTGTTATTGGCCAAGAGGTCGACCAGGGTAAGATGCTGGACTGGACAGGGTTTAGTGGTGGGTTGCGTCGGCGAGATGGCTTGCGTCGGCGTTCGAGGTTGATATCGGCCTGCGCTACTTCTGATTTTGTGCCAGTAACTTCGAATCGCACTGTGAATTGTGAAAAGGGTTTCCTGATGTCCGGAGTTTAGGACGATGTGAAAGTCGACCAGATATCAGTTTGTCAAATGATGACGATACAGAGATCTACCGAATGGCCCTTTGCCAAAAGCGTCCAGGTATAGCGCGAAAACGAGTCCGTGGCAACCAAAGTCGGGACGGTGAATCTAGCAAAAAGAGGAAGACGATGTGTTTATATTCAGGAAGCGAGCGAAATCGTCGACCACATATCCCAATCAACGGGTAATGTCGCAATCGCCGACGAAGCAAGCTAAGAAGCTGAGTGTTGGGGCAAGTGGGTATGGTGGATGACAACGGGGCCCTTCGCCTTTAACAACGATGCCTCTGCTCATTTTTTGTGGAAGAAGTTGAGAGCATGACCCAGACGTCAAGTACCTGGGCGTACCGCAGCCCACATTGGGAACAAGGTGCAGACAAGCCAGATGGAGTGGGTGCGAGACGACGTTCTTGCAACCAATCAAGACACTGGAGAAGGGGAAAACAGGCCCAAAAAGTCAAGAAGTCAAGAGCCGGCGGGCTAGGAAGACGAAAGCATGGCTAGCGAGTGAGCAAAGGTGGTAGCCCTGAGTTGTCAGCGGGGGTAAGACTCTGGACTTTTCCACGATGAGGTACTTTGCAATACCTCGCTTGACTAGCACCGGTCCAGGCAAGCTTTCCATGTGGAGCGGCGAGCTTGGATTTGCCATGTTGCTACTACTCCGTAAAGACACGACAATGAGGACTGGATCCGGGGACAGGCGGGGAAAATGCCGAAGCTGAAACAATCCGAAGTCGTCGATGTTCTCGGTGAACGGTATGTTTCCCCGCGGAGCGACAAGGCGAAGATAAACGAACAGGTTCGATACAGATTCGCGATCTCTCCGGGCGTGGTGTAGCTCAACGTTTCTCGGCGACGCTGGGTGACTGAGGGCTCGAAAATGAACTAATCGGCAACAGAAACAGTGTCATCGGAGTTGATGCGAAAAAGGAGGCCAGCATCGAAGGTCTGAGTGAGCATGGACACGAGCTCGATAATGGACCAAGGTAGAGCCTTTCACGTCATCAGTAGGAACTGATGCTGGGTTGTGATGCAGGTGTGACCCCCGTTTCGTGGGGTGGCTCAAGCAACGATGGATGGGGGGCAGCAACAACCTTCCGCAGTTGGTCTACTGGAAATCTGATTACCAACAGCATCCCACTCTTTGAATTGGACTTCTCACCGACGTAACTGAAGTTCACGGCAACGGCAGCCACAAATTACCACTGGCAAGCGAATCGAATGTCGAGTTCGGAAGGCTGACGGACTTCGTGCCCTGCTGCCCTTGAGTTGTACACGGTGAGACGGAGAAGGGCAATACTGATGAAGCCTGACAGACTCGAGATGCCACTGACGCAGAAAATGCAGGCGAGCTGGCGTACCCCCAACGAACAGCATGGGTACAGGGGGCCGAGAAAATTTCAATCTCTTCCCATGACCACGATTTCCAGCCTCTTGTGAGCGACAAAAGAGCCCTGATTTCTGACGAACCCCCGCGCCCCGGCCTGGTCGGTGTAGAGTCCGCAGTGGGTCTCGCACGAGGGGTAACGGTGGCCTACGGTGACCGCCGAGGACGCAGGCCGTTGGCTTCCGGGGCCAGCCAAACAAGAAGTTCGTGAGGGTGCCGCTTGCCGGCTGGAATATGCCTCCTCACCTGTGGATATGAATGCAGGTTTCTGGACATTCTCTCACAGAAGGCAATCCACTGCGAGGTCGCACTCGCCTGGTGGATCAAGGGCGGGCATGGGGTCTACAGTCTTTCAGCGGAAACTGTACGAAGAGAAGTATTCCGAGATGAGGGTGCTGGCTGTCCCACCCACTGAGTGTGCCCCGGAAGTCCGTTCCCGATGGCAGCGCCGACACGGAGGTTTTCCGAGGTCAAGATAACAGAACCCACAGTAGCACTGAGTAGGTAGATGCCTACACAGTATGCGACGAAGCAGTCAGGCAAAGCAGCTCAGCCTCTCGTTCCATCTGCAGTAGATGACATTTCTGTCATCTGACCTCCAGAAGACAGGTTGGCATAAGCTCAATGGTGTCCCAAGTACTCATTACGGGCGGAGGTGGTAAGCAATTACATTGACCCCGACCACCACCTCAGCTACTATTAATTTGGAGACACCATCATTCAGAATTCAAGTTATGTCAGCGATGCGTCCGAGGTGCATACCCCAGACCGGACGTCACACGCGGTGAGACTATGGCTTTGCGGAACCATTACACTCTCTTAAAGCAATGAGACATACTGTTCTCTTCTATTGCAAGCAAGACAGCGGAATGTTTAATAGTCACGAAAAGGAATTCTCATCTCCAAAGTGTGCGGCTTCCGATGACAAACCGCCACTCTTTCAACGCCCGCTCAGCCCTCCTGTCGACCTGCCCAAAGGATTTTCAGTGCATCAGTGGATGCGTGCCTCCCACGCCGCAAGCCTGTAACGCAATCCCCCTTGCTGCTAGCCATGCGGCCCCAAGAATCGATGAGATTCGATCATCGGTCCAAATCAAGGTAGCCTGGATGCTGCATGGACTTCCAGGTACTCAGGCCAGGGTCGGAAGTCGGAATGCCCAGGCCAGGAGAGCCTCTCGCAGGGCTTTTCCTTCTCATAATTCCTCTACCGAGAGTCAACTAGCATCACAGAGACCATCTCACAGTCGTAATCCGCGCTATTATCAGTGTCAGCTAGCGGTGGTATGATAGCCTTGGACTTTCGCCTAAGAATGTCTGCCTGCTCTGATGGATTTGATCAATCTCAACGCGCCATGGAAATCCCGAACCCTGATCGAAGCTGCCGCCAACCACGAGAACGCTTGCTTAACGGTCCACATATCGTGGAGTCTCCGTAGCGTACAAACATGCGGATTCTAGAACAAAGCAAAGAAACAACGCCCTGTGCCCGGGGGAGCTGCGTCGTATTCCCCCGCACACTCCTGACTGGTTGCCTGTGTCTCACATAAGGCGGCAAAGTCGCCGGAAGGCATGTCGTTCGCCGCCTACCTGGTGGTGTTCCTTTCTTGCCAAAGCCTAGCTGGGCGTGTTCAGGGTCCCTCCCATTGAACGAAACGAACCAAGGTAGCTTTCAGCCAACAACGCTTATGCCTCGTTCCGAACCTTCAACGTGTTCCACTGGGCTTCAAACCGGAGTATTGATGTCCCTCCAGGATTGCCCTAAGAGTCTTGAGGGACTTAGTAGGTTAGTCTGATGTTTCGTTAACCGCCCAGCGTGGTAGGCTGGTAGCACGTTGGCTCCAAGGCTAGATAGACTCTGCCGGTGGGTTCTGGCAGTGCGTGTGTTACGGCGGGGTTGAGTAACCACAATGGCGGGGGGAATGTTCCACCTCCACAAACGTAAAACAATTTAGACAACGAGAAGTTGGTAGCCGGGAGATACTGCGGATGCTTCAGCTGCCCTTCATTTCAGGTCACGAAGAACTCAAAACATGAAATATTTACATTATTCGTCAGCTCAGACGTTGAGCAGCAAACAGTCATGAGAGACGGAGGCTATGGCGTCCCCCTCTCTTCTAATACAAACTGGCAAACCGTGTCAGCAGGTTGATTTGGGATCAGCTGCAGTGACTTCTATGGCTCAGGCACAAGCCGCCTCGTTGGAAATGCTTCGCCTCTCGGGCTTGCAAACCACGATTGTGAGTTATGACGAAACCGCCATAGAGCCATTCTGCTCACCGTCGTTGTACCAAAGTTCTCAGACAGCCCTTTTACCCCGGAATCAGGATCAGGCCCCAAAAAGTCGTGGTATCGAAACATTCTCAAAGAGGACGAGAATCTCGCCTCCACCCCCCCCCCCCTTCTTCCTCGGGGAGAGATATGCAGTACCCCTTCGACAGCAAAACCGAAGAGTTATTGCCCCCTTTCGTAATGCAATGACCAATCGATTTGAGGTGGTCACGGTGAGAACTTCCACTGGGGTAGACAAAATTACCTAAGGTAGCTACCCTACTCGGATCCTACTGCCTGGGAATTGGTTCCCGCTCCTTCTCCTCCCCCGCAATCATCCACAGCAGGTTCGAGGTAGACATACACACACACCTTGGAGAATGAGTGTGTGTGTGTGTGTGTGTGTGTGTGTGTGTGTGTGTGTGTGTGTGTGTGTGTGTGTGTGTGTGTGTGTGTGTGTGTGTGTGTGTGTGTGTGTGTGTGTGTGTGTGTGTGTGTGTGTGTGTGTGTGCGCGTAAGAATGCTGCACAGTACCTATGTCCAAACGATCTCGTGGCTGTAGACCAAACGTGGACTGCCGGGGTGAGCCTGCGTCATACAAGCATGCAGCAGAGGGCACGAGACCGGTTACCTACTGTGCGGTCGTGGTTTTCCGTGTGGGCTTAGTGGTCGACTGGTTTTGGGCCCCTCGGGAAACTTGGCGATGTAACTGCGGCCCTTGTCTGTCCTTCGCTCTACTTTGTCGCTTCCTCTCGATGGCTGTGTGCTTTGACGAAGTATAACCCGCGCTTCCCCTTTCCTTGGGAGTTGAGCATGGGGAAAGGTCGGTGCATGGTAAGATGAGAATTACCTAGCGGGCAGGTATATATTGGGGTGATGAGTGGTTTATGGCTGATGCCTCGAGCTAAGGACGTGCTGCTAGTGGAAGGCTTTATGGAGGGGTTCATGATTGTTTGTCTGGCAGATGTTATCTCCGAGGGCAAGCTGCATGGGGGGAAAGCCTCTAATGGATTCCCATGAGGACGTTGCGAAAGTGAATACATCGAATCACTTTGTGGAACTTATGGGTCTGCACGCTAGCCACAATGTTTATCGAGTTACGTTAATTGTCAAGACTTGGGAAGCCTGTGCTGTGCGGTTTTCACTTCCATGTGGCCAGTTCTGAATCAATAGACACCAAGAGACGTTACGCAGCGGACAACAATACGTCAAGGGTGCAATGGTACGTGATTACGTCGCAGTCTCCCAGGTGGAGGTAGGATACGATGTTTTCACAAGACAACATCACGGAGCGAGGCATATGGGAACTCAAGATTGGGCGGAAGAGTGACCTTCAATGGCTTGGTATTGGCCGCAGCTATCTGCAGGATAGTCGAAGCCGACAACTCTAAAATCAGCCCTAGACTCCGTAATTTTTTTGATCATGCTCAATCCCATTTGCCCGACCCAAATAACCGTTTCCGTCTCCGAGAAGAGACATTCACGAAAGTGTGTAGCAATGCAGCCGAGGTGTCACCTTTCGGAGCAGCCTGGCTGCAGCACACGCAGCAGACTCACGCGCAACCTTCATCATTTCGTAGAAGAGGAAGACAAGACGCTTAGTTGCCGGCGAGGGCGTTGGCGCGGCGGCGGTCACGCTCCTCGGCGATGGAGAGCTTGACACCCTTGCCCTTGGGCAGGGAGATCCAGGGCTTCTCGGAGCCGATGACGAAGACGTTGGACTCACGGGTGGCGAAGGTGTTGTCAATGGCGTCCTTGATGTGGACGATGTTGAAACCTCCGTCGTGGCGCTCACGGTGGGTGATGACACCGACACGACCCATGTTGCGACCGCCGGTGACCATGGCAATGGAGCCGGTGTCGAACTTGATGAAGTCCTCAATCTTGCCGGTGGCAAGGTTGATCTTGACAGTGTCGTTGACCTTGACGAGGGGGTCAGGGTAGCGGATGCTATAGAGATAAAAGAGTCAGCAAAGAGGGTTCGGACGGGGTGATACATTACAGCCGTCGGATGTGTATAGCTCCAATCTCTTTTCTTCGTAATCGGCCAATATTCTTCTTTTTGACGTTGCAATTCCGCCTCCCTCCCACTTCAAAAGGGAAGGGGATTTCATATGATTGGGAAGTCTTATTCCAGGAATTGAACAAGAGAGCATTTTGGGTGATGACGAATCGACCAAAGCTTGATCCAACGGCTGAATGATGTCTGACAGAACCAGTGCAGAGTGTGCAAACTCACGTTCTCGCATCGTGCGTGACCAAGAATGGGATTCCACCGCGGCCAAGCTGAACGCGCTTGACCTTGCCGAGCTTGTACTCGGCCTCCTCGGCCTGGATGCGGTGGACGGTGAAGCGGCCCTTGGTGTCGTAGATGAGACGGAAGTTCTCGCCAGTCTTGTCGATGGTGATGACGTCCATGAAGCCGGCGGGGTAGGTCATGTCGGTGCGGACCTTGCCGTCGACCTTGATGAGGCGCTGCATGAGGATGGAGCGGGTCTCGCGGAAGTTGAGGGCGTACTTGAGGCGGTTGCGGAGGAAGACGATCAGCGGCAAGCAGTCGCGAAGCTTGTGAGGACCGGCCGAGGGGCGGGGAGCGTAGGTTCCGGACAGCTTGTCCAGGAGCCAGTGCGAAGGCGCGCTAAGGCGCTTCTGGTGCTTCTTGCTGTGAGGGCATTGTCAGAATATTTGTTCGTGTCGAGAATGGGCTCGATCATGATCTGGAATATTGTCTTCGAAATTTTCCTTCAGTTCGTCGCGGCGGGCAAGTCAAAATCGCTCGAGCGACAAACAGAATCCCGAATCGCGTCGATGACAATATTGAGATTGAAAATGAGGATTGGGTATCAAGTACTTACAGTCCCTTGCCCATTTTGTCTGACTGCCGATTAGCCTATGGGGGTATCTGGTCGGTGGGTGTGAAGGTCGAAGTCGAGATACTCAGATTCAACTCGGGACGTGGAGTACAGAGGGATCGGG